ATCCTGTGCCCCTGGTGCCGATGGAAGCGACAGTAGGGGAACTGAGAGTTGATAGCGTGTACCTCCGGGGGTGCGCGAGAGTCGCGCTCAACGAGGCCCCTCTCCTCAGCAAAATCGAGGATGGTGCTGACGGGGTGCGTCAATGGTGTCCGAGGGCGGTCCAGGAGAATGGGCTGGGCCCAAGTCCTAGGGTTGCTCTTATAACCTCCCCCGGGCTTGGCTTGGCCTTGCCGAGGGCGGTCATCAGAGGGTCCAGAAGCCTTGGGGCGATTTGGAGGAGCCCCCGGCCCTCGGTTATGCTTGTTGTCAGCCCTCGGGGGCTGCTGGTCCGGATGCTGGTGATACTTCTCCACCTCCTCGGCCTCAGCATATCGGTCCCCCCGCTGCAAAGCCCTTATGTAGTCGCGGGGGGGTTCAATGATGAGGCTCCTCGAAAAGTTGCCGGTGCGGAGGACGGTTTGTAGGAGGGCCAGGAGGGTCCCGTCATCAGCACCATCGACCTTGTCGGCCTCCGTCCTCCAGCGCTCCAGGAAATCCCGAAGGGTCTCATCCTTCCTCTGGCGTATTGTTAGGAGGTGGGAGAAGTGTTTCCTTGTGCGACGCCTCCCGGCAAATTGGGTCAAGAACCGCTGGGCGAGTTCTTGCCATGAATCAATACAGCCCTCGGGCAGCATGTTGAACCATTCGTACGTTGGCCCCTCTAAGGTGGAGAGGAACCAACGACACAAATATTCGTCCGACGCCCCCACCATCATCATGCTGTTCTGGTACTTGCTGTAATGTTCCTGGGGGTCCGTTTTTCCGTTGTAGGGCTGTATATGTTGCCCTCGGTACTTTTCCGGGATCCGGGCCGCCAATACCCTTGGAGTAAATGGCGTCCGAGTCCGGAGCTGGATGACGGGTTCCCCGGAGCCCTCGGCCACCTTCTTCTGTAACTCCTCCATCTTGGCCATCATGGCCTCGTATTTGAGATCTGAATGAGGGGCGGAGGTGGTGGCGTGAGCTTTGTTGGACTCCATCTCGTCAAGCCGGCGTTGGAGGGCCGCAATAATCTCGTCCCGGGGATCCTTCGGGAGGGTCTCCGCCCCCTGCGAACGAACCCGGGCCGAGTGGGCCTGGTTGATCTGGTGGCGAGCGTCATCGGCATGAAGGGGTGCCTTGCCTTTGTCCCGAGGGGGACGCTCCTCGTCTGCCCTCGAAACAGATCCCCCGCTTTCCTGGGGCCTTTGGAGTGCTTTCCCCCCGAGGCGGTCTTGGACCCCTCGGCGGTCTGGCCCTCCTCCGAGCCGGTTGAGGGCGGAAGTACGGGGCCTTTCCCTGTTGTCATTATGGCGGTCCCGGGACTGAACTTTCTGGGAGGACGTATCTTGGGCCACCACCCCCTCGTCGTTCCTTACCCGAGGGGTGGGATTTCCGAAGGGGTGTGGCAGAGGGGGAAGTATGATGTTTTCCCCGATCGGAGGGTGAGCTGGAGCCAGGGTGCCGAAGGCACCCGGGTTCTGGGTGAGCGTCTGGATGAAGGCGGAGAGCGCCGATTGCACGTCGATGGTGAGAACCGGAGGGCTGACTTGGTCATCGCTACTGTTTTTCTTCTTGGCCTCGATGCCGAGGCGGGCATCGAGGGCATTTTGTTGAATCTGAAGGCGTAGGTCGACAGCCGCCTGTTCCAGCCCAGCGATGACACCACCCTCGGGAGCCCTGTGAGAGGCTTCGGGGGCGTTGACGTCGCCGAGGGCCAGGTTCTTGTCTTCTACGTTCTTTGAGTTGGCACGTGTTGTCCTCACCATTTTGATAGAGGGCTAGTGTTTTGTGTTTGGTCGAGGGGGAGGGTTTCTTACTCGATTGTTCAACCTCTCAACGAGAGCACCAAATGATGGATAGTCTACCCGGGGGTGTATATTCGAAGGGTTATTGTGGGAAGTAACAAGAGAGAAGTCAGAGCAAGTAGGTGAAAGTAGAGAAAGAGTTTATTCAGTATGAATGCCGTTTTCAGCGGGGTTACAAATGAGGAAATGCGGTGCTATTTATAGTAGCAATAAATGCCGGGCAGGGACACGTGTCAAGCGCCCATTGGCCGATGGGTCACCTCAACTGGTTGGCGCTGGCAGCCGCATGTGGCCGCATTTAATGCGGCTGTTGGATGGGACGTCTATGCGGGGTACGGTGATCTGTACGCATGTGAGGCGGATATCTTGTCGAGTGAGATGTCTTCGGCTATAGAGCAGTAGCCGAGGGCTCTTCCACCCGATGGCACCCTGGTGCCGAGGGCTCACAATGCCGAGGGCTACTGTTTTCGCCGTTTTCTCCCAGTTTCTTAATTTGCTTGGGAAACCCGTTATGTGAGAATTTGGAGCCTTCGGCCAGGGGGCCGAAGGCACCCCTGGCGCGTAGTGCGCACTGCCTGGTACTCTGGGCGCTGTGATTTGGGCCTGTTGGGCCTGTTGGGCCTTTTGGGCCTTCGCTGGAGTAGTAGGAGTCTGTGGGCCGGGGGTTCCCGGGCCATATACTCCATCAAACCTTAATGAGAAATGTAACTTTAGCCCAATGAAATGTAAATGACCTTTATGGACGAGATTACCGACATCCATATTGATATTGAATGTTGTCAATCATCCTGTATCGTTCAATCGGCGATATGAAACCCACTAATCGCTTCTCCATTGGATACCATGTATCACACTCAACCTCCTCCATACCATCTCTGTGTCTTTCCTCGCAATATAGCCTTCGCACCATAGGGCGCCATTGATGACCGACCCCACCCTTGGATCCAGCGACATTTCCTTGGGACGGAAGCTCCTCGATCAATGAGTGCGTTGTATCGCTATATCCACTTGCCCATCTGTCTTTGAAGCCATCGCTATAAAGATTTGCCAGCTTCTTCCATCATCGTTGTTGCCGACGAAATAATAGGATTAAACTGAAATTCGAATGACACTTTGCTATCTTTTTAATTGTGAAATGATATCGTATTGGGATCGATACACCGTGTGCATGGTGTAACAATCCCACAGTATAGTATGGGACTCAAACAAATAATAGTTAATTAAAAATTATGAAAAATAATATTCTAAGAAGATCGAACAAATTATTGAAATCTCTTTTCCTTGTAAATAATGTGATCAAGTTTTCTAAATTTGACCAATTTTAAAGGTAATGGTAAGTTATGGTCTTTTGGACCGGGAGAACGAGAAGTAATTCAATGTTACTAGGTACATACTTTCATACGGAGTACTTCTAAAGAAAAAGAATTTAATAAAAACGGTTGGCACAAAATAAAGATAAAAATTCTATATATCTAAAGAGAAAATCCTCTTCAATACAATTTCCTTCCCGTTTATGCATTATGATAGGTAACCTATATCTGATTAAACCTAATCTCAATTGATCTAGTCTCATATCTCGTATGAATACAATATACGAAGTAGTATATAAAAAAAATGTGAGGATATACGTTGGAGGAATAACCAGTCCATAGGTAAATACTCCCTCCGTCCCAAAAAGGTTGACCAAATTTCCTTTTTTGGATGTCCCAAAAAGATTTGTCATTTCCATTTAAAGTAAGGAATATGTGGCTAAAATTAATTCTCTCTGCTCTGCATAAATTTCAACCACACAATTTTTACTTTATTAATCCACGTGAAAGTCAACTTTGACTAACCTTTTCGGGACGGAAGGAGTAATTGATTGATGGGTGGGCTCACTTGCCTAAGGGAAGAAAGACGTGTGGTACTGTGTCCTTTGCCCAAAACTTGGTCGGCTCCTAAAAGGCATTTTCGCTTCATTCTTCCCTTCCTCTGAAACTTTCCACCCTTGGCTTTTCACATCCTCAAAACACAGAAAAATCTGACTAACTCTGAAATGTTGAAATGTGTTTACCCATTTTAGACTACCCAGACAGCAAGATCTTTACCTAACCCCCACCCCCACACAAAAAACACATTTTTATCACTTTTTTTTTCTACTTTATGATATTCTTCATTCCTAATTCCCATTTACCCGGTTTCATTTTTAGCTATATACGTTAGTTTGTTACCTAAATGTCAATTTATTTCATTTTGCTAACCGAATCAGTTAAAAATAATTAAATAAATAAATAGTCGTAAAATACATGTGCTGTTTTGGGGGGAATGCATATGTATAATCTTTACTTTCAGCAATTCTACAATAATAATTCGTATTTGAAGTGTTACAAAAATAATGACATCCACGAAAATAGATCATATGAAATTTCCGTTAGTCCATTACCTTCAGTTTGCTATATATGTTAAGTAACTTAGCAAGTGAGATTTTCAGAAATATGCCCTTGTTCTTCTTACAACTGTTTGAGAATATGAAATTTTAAATATTTTTTGAATTGATTGAAACTTGCGATGAAAAAGATGAAAATTTGAGAAACAAAGATATCTTACTTAGCTCAAGAAACTCGGGCGTCGATCAAGAAAAGCAAGAAAACAATTGATTATGCAAATGACATGTTAACTTGAAAGATAGAACGGATACCTACAAAAAGAGCAGGGAAGAGGAACGTGAGGCCGAGGTTGAAAATATTAAACGGCTATTAGATCGAATTGACCTCCATTTATTCTTGTGAACATCATTACTAGTTCAAATTATTTTTATAAATACTCTGAATATAGATTATTATTATAAAATTCCTAAAAGTAGAATCATTATATGAAATTATGAATTTAGATCCCTTTTAAACATATATTTTTGAAATAAATTACTCTGTATTTGATAATTTAGTGTATATGACCAAGTTAGCTATTTAAACAACACCTTGGACAGATTTAAGGCCTGCCAAACGGGGTGCTCTAAGGACTAAGGAGTAAGGACGCTTCACTAACCTTTTAGCTATTATTCCTTCTAATTTTAAGAATATTACGTTTGTGTTGTAAGTACATTGTTAGATAATTCAGCACGGCAAGCCCATTCATTCAACAATTATCTCAACAAGTTCAACCAAACATGGCCAAACAAAGACCTGAAATGTAAATAAAACCGAGATGCATAAATTCAAGGAAACAAATCATAATAAGCACACTATTATTTTGAAGATTGTGCTCGTTTATGGTTCAAGTGTCAATGGCAAGGAACTGCTAGTACCTCTGTTGTTTCATGCATGAAAGGATATTGTTTCAAAAACAAAATACAAACACATGTGAAGGAAAAGGCTGCTATCAGGTTATAATAATCTGGTGGTAAATTTACGTGGGAGAGAACCTGTGTGTTGTTTGATCAATATATCAAAATATTTTCCCTGCCAAACAATTTCTAGACTATAAGTTTTCGTTCATAGAAATCCAAGAAATTGATCAGACAGTGGACATGGCATCCCAAGCATAGCCTTGACCCGTGGAAGTAGCCGAGCCTCCCATTTTCTTGCAGTTCTTGCTAAAGTCATCAAACAGGCCCGTTCCAAACACGTCTTTAAATTTACAGTGGTCCTTACCGTGGTCCGCCTTCACAATGAAACAATCCGAATTAAGCAAGAAGTCCGGCCTAGAGAACATCTTATGGTTTGATGCTTCATTTTTATAATGCACTTGCTTAACTACATCACCTACACAATGACAATAATTTCAGAAGTTCGCGTAATTATGAGAAAATAGATGGTTAGGAATTGAATAGAATAACTAAAGATGGAGGGCTATTTCTATCTACCTCCACATAGATTTGATTAAGTAAAAAGTGGCCCCTCTGTTTTTTCAAATAACAATACACCCCTTGAGAAGTAAATATTAACATTTGCTCCAATCCCCCCGGGGAAAAGCTTTTAATGTTATAATAAAAACAATGAAAAAGAGTCAGTTTAGAACACTTAACTCCTGCTATATCATTATATCCTATCATGTTTCAGTGTTAAAGGTGTCATTTCTAAAAATTAACTAGTTAGGTGACTATTCTCACCTGACTTCTTTTCGACTGACTGAGGCTCATCTGATGTACTTTTTCCGCTAAAAATTGATGTAGCAGAATGACTGAGAGGAGAAATCGGGTCACCATTTCTTTCCATCTCTGGGTCGTCAAGGTCCGGACATGAACTATCATCCACCAAGTCACCTGGCATAATCAAGAAACCACCAGAGGACGAAGAATCATTCTTTGTATGCTTCAAAGATTGTGACCCTAAAAGAACAGCATCAAGTAGGCCACTGTTACCATCAGGCTGCTGTTCAGCAGCTCTTGGAGGTGACTGAACTATAGTATCAACAGATTGTAGAGATGGAAGAGGGGATGAGGAAGGAAATCCCCAACTACCCATCTGATTTTGGAATGAAGGGAGCTCCATCTTCTTTCCACACGTGGGGTCTGAAGGAGAGGAGTTGCCATTTATAAAGGCATGGCTGCCATGAATCAAATCCGAGAATAACGATGGTTGACCAGATTCCATAGTCTGATCATATGGATACGAAAACCCACAGTAAGATTGTCCCATCTGTGTATAAGTATTCTCATCACTCTGATATGGAATATCACTTAAACCAGGGAAGAAGGTTCCGGAACCACGTATACGCTTTGAAGGGTGAATAGCAGAAAGAAACGACCTGTTGTTTACAAAACAAGAACCAAGACCACCTTGTGGCAGAAGGGTACTACTTGCAGGAATGTCAAGGAGATCTTGTGGATATAGTGCGTGATGATTCAGTTCCAAACTTCTGAATTCGACAGGTGGGATCTCATAACTGTTGTTCTGCAAAAGTTCAGGATGCTGCGAGAAGGTGCCAAAATCTTCATTTTGTTTGGTCTCATTGAAGGAATTCAAACGGATGTCAGGAGGGTATATTGGCAAGCCGGCACGTTGTCTTCTCTTCAGTCTTGTGTTCCAATAGTTCTTTATCTCGTTATCTGTTCGCCCAGGCAACTGAAAAATATCTTTGTAGATTAGTTCCCAATGAATATATGATATGGATAATTATCTTTGGGAAAAAAATTCACCATACCCATCCTCCTTCCAGAAGGAGGTAATATAACAGAGAAAACTAAAATAATGACATAACGTAATTCGGCAAGCACAACATCCTCAAGTCAAGTTCATAGATTTCATGTGAGACCAAAGTGCCAAAAGATATTCTAGTGCAAACTAAATGCCCAATGCACAAAGAACTAGGTGGGCACAAAAGAAGGTACTCTGATTCAGAGATGAACAAAAAAAACTTTATAAATCAGAGCATTAATCTCAGCTTCTTTGCATAGAGAACCAATAAATAATGATATGACACACATAGCTTTCTGAAAGGGTCCATTTGTGCCCTTGTATTATTTTCCATGAAAACTTTTGTAACCAAAACTCTCAGGAAATATGTATTATAAATTCAATGGCATCATGAATTTTTACCAAACTTCTTGAAGCTTGCATGTTTAGTTAGGTATATGAAAGCAATATTTATGGATAGTCCAGACATAAATCAGAACAAGCTTCCAACTGCAGAATAAACTTGTGGAAGGAATATAGGGTACGTTTAGATGCTGGAAAATGCTAGCAAGTGGTAACAAATGCTGAGGAAAGTTGTTCTCTTGTGCTCAGTATTACCTTGGAAAATGCAAAGAAAAATTACATACTCTTATCAATTCACTTGTTTTAAAATTTTACATATAGTTATATTTCAGTCGTTTTACATAGACATAAATCAGTAAATAAATAAAAATGAGTTTGCAATATCTACAATAACTTATTTATGTTTGTGCTCATCTTCTATATTTCACAAGTTCTCTTTCCTTGGAGTGTTCTATTCTACTTCCCAACTTGTTTCCTTTCTATAGAGTTTTCAGAGTACCGAATAGAGTCTTGGTACTAAGATGGAAACAAGAAAAAAATTCAAATGAAGGATGATCATACAGACCTCAGCAGCCATTCGTGCCCATTTGTTCCCCATTTTAGAATGCAGTTGTACAATGAGGCTCTCTTCCTCAGGAGTGAATGCTCCTTTCTTTAGATCTGGTCTTAAGTGATTTGCCCACCGCAATCGGCAACTTTTCCCACATCGAGCAAGCCCAGAATGCTTCTGCACAGCATTCCAGTTCCCCTCTCCGTGTTTTGTTACGTAGTCCACTAATATTGCATCCTCTGCAGATGTCCAAGGACCTTTCTTCAGTACCAAACCACCACCACTTCCTCCACTACTAGCATCTTCACTTAGGCCGCCTTGTGAATTCATCATCTCCTCGCTTTCAGTTTTCATGTTTAAATCCTGAAAATAGAAGGCCAACAATGGAAGAAATGGACAGTATCAATAATTGGTGTAGTAATTGGTTTATGCACAGAAAAACACAACATGGACCCTTGCCAAAGTGGTTCAACTTTAGGACACCATTAGAAGAGTTCAAGATACCTACTGATCCGCCCCCCCCCCCCCCCCCCCACCCCCCTCCCACTCCAAACAAAAAAAAACAGTTTCTTTACCAACATAAAGCTTATTTGTGACCCCTTGGTTGGAAAGAACATAAAAAAAATGTAAGGGAGAACCCATAAAAAAATTGAAGCTTTATAAGCAGAGAAAAGTGTCAGGATATCAAAACAAGGTAATTACAACATAATTCGACATAAAACCCCATCCGACCCCTGAAATAACCAAATACATGTTGCCCTGTGGGAGAAAAGTGATAATTCTTTGTTATAGACAGAAGAAATGCCATGTTAAAACGTATCAGATGTGAAATTTCCACAAGATATTACTTTATATGCATCATCTATATATACTACGTGCATACAACAGAATCCAGATAGAATTTAAGAACAAGAAGTAAAGTTATTATTTGGCTAATTACATCATAATTAATCAATAGAAGAAAAAAAAAGCTCGGAATAGTTATATTGTCAGCAACTTCAGGCTTAGATGAATCATAGATGTAGTCTTTTACGGTATGCAATAAATGAGCTCAAGGTTTCTATATTTAAATGATCCATTGTTCATTTATGGAATGGAATAACAATTAATCATCATCAGATATTAATTACCAGATATCTGCGTGGAGGAAGCTCGTGAACGCAAAGATCAGTCCCTCAAAAGCTCACAAAGATCCAATCAACTTGAAACAACGACGTAGATTAACTAGCATACACCCACAAATCTAAATTCACCCCAGAAACGTGTTTGAAAAAAAGAAAAACTTGAAAAGGAATGATGAAAACGACACCCTTTCGACGCAAAAATCCAAACCTAAATTCGTATGGTATGAATATGAAAAGTTGAACACGTAAAATCAATGATCAAAATCAGCTCGAAATCTAAAGAAAGAAAACAAAATCTAACTCCTAAGAACAGAGGATTGAAGTTTTATTATGCTGGTATATGTGAGAAAATCAATGAAGAACAAGATCCAGTTATTATGTTCAGAAAGAGCAAAAGAAAGTGCAGCTGATTATGGAATTCTGAAAACGAAGGGAAGAAGATGAGAGAGAGATGGCGAGGAATGAGTAGAAATAGAGGAGAGAGACCAGGAATGGCTTACACCTCATTTGAGGATTAGCTTAATAATTAATTAATTAAAAATTAATTCATCTATAATTACGTACAAAATTAATAAACAGCGCTTCCGTACTGTTTATTCATTCGCCCCATAATAATTTGATTTAGCACCACACATTTATTTGTCCATGATTTATAGTTTGACTTCATAGTTCACTAGTTTTAAATATATGAAATGTTTCTATAGTAAAACTTCCATATTTTGGTAGATTTATTTTTCATAATGTTTTTTATAGTTTGACTTGATAGTTCACTAGTTTTAAATATATGAAATCTTTCTCTAGTAAAACTTCCATATTTTGGTAGATTTATTTTTAATAATGTTTCACTAGATTTATTTGTCCATATGGTAAAACTTCTATGAAATTTTAATTTATAAATATATGTAATGTTTCTATAATATGAGTTTTCTAATTTGCATTCACATAAGCATTGAATTCTTTATCGATAGTATAATACGGAGTAACAAAGAACATAAAATATATAACACTTCAAAATGACTAAGAGATACTGTTGGGATATTGACCTAGAGGCTCAATACCCGGATCAAGAAAGCCCAAGATATCCGGCCCAAGCAACGGGCCCATCACTCTATGATAGGATAATCATGGTAGAACTAATGCCGAACGAGATTCGGCCCAAATAAGGGTTGACCCAGTAAGAAGACATACCGAACGGAGTTCGGACTATATACTATACTTGGGCCAATTTGACAGCATCTTCAGCATACCCCAACATCCCGTTCGAGCAACGGCCAACCGGCAAGTGGCCAGGTGTAATTAATGCCAGATTATGACATCAGCAAGTGGAAACATGGGTGACCAAGTCGGTGGAACAACGGCCAATCAGCATAGGGTAGCCCATGCTCTCCATTAGTATAAATAGAAGGTTTAAAGTCATTGTAAGGGTTAGCATTTCAATACTTATGCTCTAGAATAACATCATTGCTCTTATTTCTTGTATTAAAGTATTGTTTCCGACCTACCGATCGGGAAATTCCTTGTAATCAGACTGGTTAGTTAATACAAGCGAGCTTTCGAGTATTAGTGAGTTCACATTTTATATTTTGTTTATACACGTTGATTCTGTGTCATTCCTGATATATCCAAAGTTCGTGTTGGGCTTTCGGATCTACGAGATTTACACTCAACATTGGCGCCGTCTGTGGGAAACTTACAAAAAAGTTTCACATTCAAATCATCCAAAAAACCACTATTTTCAAAAATGGTCAGAATCAGCTCCTATCATACAAACGACGGTTCACGCCGTCTCAGGAGGAGTCACACCCCGGGGAGTCAAAAGCCTCAGGGACAATCCAGCCGAGGATCGTATCCTCATTTTGATGGGGATTTTGTGATTCCCGAATCTCTGAGAAGAAACCCTCAGGCCATGCGAGACATGGCTCAGGTCATGCAGCATATGGCGAACGAGGAGGAAGGAGGGTCCAACTTTACAGGGGAGACTCCACGCACGGAAACAACTACAGCATCATCCCGTTCGCATACCCATCGGGATAATCGACGTAGCGTCCCACCAACGGCGCACCATAGTCCCAGTGACCGAACCCCGATCGGGTCGCAAGCTAGAGGACCAACTCCCATTGATCATCATTTCCAGAATGCCGAGCGGGAGAATACTAGGGCCCCTCAACGGCATTGGGACCGGGACTATACGGACATGAGGGCTCCACCACCGCTCCCTTTGACGGCCTAGGAGGAAGAAATGGCCGAGATGAGGAGGCAGATGAATGAGATGCGGGACCAAATGAACAGGGCACCTGTACAACCTGCCCCAGTTCAGCTGGGAATTACTTCCCCTTTTACTAGGGAACTCATGTACGCAGACATCCAAGGGGGTGCCAAGCCACCAACTGGCCAAATCTATGACGGGGTGGGAGATCCCCATGTGCATTTGAGGAGTTACCAAGGGGGACTCATGCTGCTAGGAGCACCCGAGGCCGCTATTTGCCGGTTGTTTTTTAGTACGCTCAGGGGGTCTGCCCAGGAGTGGTTCGGGACACTACAACCCGGATCAATCAACAGCTTTGCCGAGTTATCGACGTTATTCTTGGCCCAGTTTGCTTCCAGTGCCAATCCCAAACGGCATTTCAGCTATTTGACCAGCGTGAAGCAAAACGCCAAAGAGACCCTCAATCAATTTCTGAAAAGATGGAGGGATGAAACTTTAACGGTGGGAAACATGACGGATGATACCGCCATTACCCTATTCACGAATGCTCTCCGAACGGGGGAGTTGTACAAGGAGTTAAAGAAAAATTCGGGTACAGTCTACGCCGAGGTATTAGACATGGCTCGCAAGCATGCTGCCCTAGAAGAGGAGATAATGATCAGGGATAAGGTCATTGCGCCTGCTGCCCCGATCAGAATGGCCGATCGGCTGGGTCCTAGCCCAGCGGCCGCTATACCTCCCAAGCAAGGGAGATTTACTCCCCTGGTCCTATCAGTAGCGACCATTTATCAGCACGAGAGGGACAATATTCCCCTCCCGACTGATTCTGGACAGTTTATGGGAGCGGATGACAATGCTTTCTGTAAATATCACAACAGGAAGGGTCATGCCACCAATGCCTGCAGGGCCCTATAGACAGCCATTGAGGATTTGATCCGAAGAGGTCATCTGGGCAAGTATGTGAATAAAGATCCAAATGCTGTAGGCACATTGAAACCGATCAGGAAACCTAATAGCTGGCGCCGGGATGCCCAACGTGATGCCCAGCCTCAAAATGACGTATATGTTCCCCACAGGGATGAACCAGAGGGCTCGGGAGGCCCTGGAAAGAAACCTCGAATGGAGGTCAAGGTTATATTCGGGGGCGGGGAGACATGGGATTCGAACGCCGAACGGAAAAGGTTCGAGCGAAGTCTTTATGTGGGATCCGTCTCCGCTCCCCCCCAGAAGAAAGGAAGGACGGACCCTATCATGTTCGGGCCAGCTGATTTACCCAACTCTCCAAGCCCACACAGGGATGAACTGGTGGTAAGCATGTGTATTGACAATGCTTTGATCCGCCGAGTACTGGTCGATACCGGGAGCAGTGTGAATGTATTGTATCTACAATCGTTCGAAAAAATGGGTCTACAAAGAAGTCAACTGACCCACCTACGGACCCCACTGACAAGCTTCACCGGTAATTGCATTGAGGCTGAGGGTACCATCCAATTGATGGTTGAAATTGGGGATGAAACCCACAAAGCGTCACTCCGAATGACGTTCGTGGTGGTGGATATAAAGTGTGCCCACAATGCCATATTGGGCCGACCGGGATTGGAAGATCTGGAGGCAATAGCCTCTGTCCACCACTCATGCATCAAATTCCCTACAGACACTGGGGTTGGGGTGGCCAGAACTGATCCGACGACAACCCAAACATGTTATCGGGAGGCCCTGAAGCAGATGAACACTCGTGGGATGCGGGTTAATACAATTGAGGTGGAAACCCACCGAACGGAGTTCGAGGCACATCCATAGCCCGCCACTCTTCTTGAACAAATCGACCTGGATTCCCCCCGAATCGTAAGGTAGCTATTGGGGTAGATCTGGAGGCTGACATCCGGGATGGCGTGATTGCCGTCCTAAAAAAGTTTCAGGTATTGTTTGCCCGGGGGCCAGAAGATATGACCGGTATTGATCCGGAGATAATATGTCACAAACTTGCCGTTCGGCCTGATGCAAAACCAGTCCAGCAGAAGAAACGGTATCAAGCAACCGAACGGCGGGAATTCACAAAGCGGGAGGTGGCCACCTTGCTTAAAATAAAGCACATCCGTCCAGTAATCCACGTAGAGTGGCTATTAAATGTGGTTCTAATCCCAAAACAATTCACTTGGAGAATGTGCGTGGATTACTCGGACCTGAATAAAGCTTACCCCATGGATCCCTATCTAGTGCCGAGGATCGATCTGCTAGTAGATGAAACTGCCAGATGTGAATTGCTGAGCTTCATGGATGCTTTCCGGGGTTACCATCAGATATTCATGCACCCGGCTGATGCAGAGAAAACGGCGTTCGTTACTTCGGATGGTGTGTTTTGCTATATCGTCATGCCATTCGGATTAAAGAACGCAATGGCAACCTTTCAAAGGATGCTCGGGATGCTGTTCAAAGAAGTGTTGAGGGTCACAATGGAAGCTTATGTTGATGACATCCTAATCAAAAGCAGGAAGAAGGAAAACCACGTCCTGGACATAGAAAAGGTGTTCGGGATAATGCAGAAAGCAAATATGAGGCTGGATCCCAAAAAATGTGCTTTTGATGTAAGAAGGGGCAAATTTTTGGGATACATGATGAGCGAAAAGGGGATTGAGCCCAATCCTGAAAAAGTAAAGGCAATTGTGGATATGGAGGCTCCAAGAAATCTCAAAGAAGTGCAGAGATTGACCGGTCGGTTAACAGCCCTGAGCAGATTCCTATCCAAACTGGCCGATCGAGCTATTCCGTTCTTCCAGATCATGAAGAAAGCCAACCCCTTTGAATGGACGGCCGAATGCCAAACGGCCTTTGAAGATTTCAAGACGTATCTGTCTTCCCCCTGGTCTTGACATAACCCGAACCAGGGGGAACATCTGTATATGTACCTTGCTGTAGCTGACCTGGCCGTGAGCACAGTACTGTTGAGAGAAGAAGATGGCATTCAACGGCCAATCTATTTTGTAAGCAAGGCTTTGAACGGCCCAGAAACCAGGTACACCTTGCTAGAGAAAACTGTATTGGCCCTAATAGCTGCCATTAAACGTCTGGCACCATATTTCCAGACCCACCCGGTAACTGTGTATACTACTAAGCCACTGGCCACCATCTTGAGAAATCCTATGGCAAGTGGACGCATTACCAAGTGGAGCCTCCTGATCGGGCAATATGAGGTGGATTTCAAGCCTCGACCTACTATCAAAGGACAGGCCCTGGCAGATTTCATTGCAGAATGTACTGCCCGGCCCTCAGAAACAGACTCAGCCAACAATGGGC